GGTCGCTACGGAGGTCGATGCTGAGAAAATAGAGCTGCTTGCTCTAACAAAAGAAAAAGATGAGAGAGAGAAAGAGTTGGTGGAGTTAAAAGAAAGCATTGGATCGATGGAGCAACCAAACGAGCATGGAAGACGAAGAAGGAATTTGTTTCGCCGTGTTGCTGTTGCTGCTCCTTTCATAGCTGCTGCTGGTGCGGTAGCGGTGGCTTTTTGCATATTTTTGAAGAAATAGTTTTCTCATTCGAGTGTGATGTTTTGCTGTTAATTACTAATTTTATTCTTTATTATCTTTCAGTATCTTTTATTTTCATTTATCAATTGGAAGAGTTTTATTTTTTTATGTGGGAAAGTGATTTATTTTTAAAGTTTCTTTTTCTTAAAAAGAAAATCAAATATTTTATTTTTTTAATTATTTTACAATGAAGTCAGAAATTATATATAGAGGGATTTTGAGGTTGCTGATAATATTAAAATTATTTACCATTTGCTCTTGCATTGTATCTATGTTCAAAATTTAATAATATGTATGTATCTTCGGGGGTAATAATTTCATTATTTTGATCTTTATAGCTATCACTTTTTAAATTTTTTTGAGTTGTGTTGACCAACTAATTTTGTTGGAGTTTGAATTTCTTAAATCAATTCAAGATAGCATTATTTTTTGTTGTGACAAAAAGTTATTTTATAAAACACTTATAAATACCTAAGTTGCTATATAAAAGATAATTAGTGTCATGTTTATCTTAAAAACCGTATTTTTATTGTAGTTTTTGAGAGTTTAATATTTGGATAGAAAGTTATGTCCTTAAGAATAAAAGTTAAATATGAAAGTTTAGGTGTCAGACATGCAAATACATAAAAATAGTTCGCGACATATTTAAATTTCCACTGATAAAATTGCATTTAAACCCATTTATACAAATTGGAGATCTGCAAAATAAGACTATTAAATATCATCAAGAAATTAAAACCTTATTAATATACTTCTATAGATTAAGTTATAAGTACGATAAAAATCATAAATATTTTACTACCCATTTAAGTGGTAGTAGTTTCTAGAAACCTCAAGGCGCATTTAAAATATTTTCATGGTAAGTTTTAATTTGTTAATTCTATTTTCAAACAAAATATATTACTTTTCTTATTTATAGTACTTTAAAGACAGCTAGCTGACCAATTTCATAAAAACATTGTATTGCGATAATTTTTTTATAAATTTCATACCATGAATTTTATTTTATGATGTCAATGTCAATGCATAAAAAAATAGTCGCTTAAAAGATTTAAATTAGCCGTAACATACTGTGATAATTTTTTTTATCCAATTTATCTCACTCTTCTCTCTACATAATAATGTTTGATGAATATCATTTTAAATAATTGTCTCTTGCTTTTCAAAGTGATTAATTTTAATTAATCATTGATCAATTAATGTCGATAATCACAATTTATAACTATTTTAAGAATAAAAGTGAAAGTGTGAATCAAATATAGTGATCAAATTAAGAATATATTAAGAATTTTAATAAATTATTAAGTAAAAGTAATTTAATACAGGAGATGTTAAACTTTGCTCGACGTAGTCATCAAGAATGATTGACTAAGATAATTGATGAAGATATATTATCAAAAAGTTGATTTTTTAAGCTATGAGGAAAGCCCAAATATTAAATGGGTATTCTGAGTCTAGGACTTGCCTCTCAGAAGGCCTTGGCAAACTCCTCTATCGAGCTCGTCGGTATTCATGCAAGCTTTCCCTCCTAAGCTTGCCAATACTTATCGAGTTTCTTTGTTAAGCTCATGAGTATTTATCAAGCTACATCAACAAGTTCGTTGAGCAATATTTCTTTAAGATTGCTTGCACGACAGGAGAAATCGTGCAAGACGAGCAAACTCTAACCTATCACTATCCATGCCCATTTACGAGTCGCCTAACTCCCATGAACATATCTCATCAATGACAAACCTTAAGAGGCTCCATACAATATGGCCTATAATTTCTTATTTTTTTATTATTTCTTCCTTTGGTCGTATGAGGGCAAGAATGCTGAGAGTTATATAAATAATTTTAAAATTCCTCTTAATATTTTTTTTAATATAATAATTATCATCAAAAAGTATAATAGTTATCATAAAAAATCCTTTGATAATTATGTAGACAGTGCATACAACATTAGCCTTGAATTAGTTATATTTATCCAATTTCATAGAATAGCCTATTTAACAACTTCACTAAGTAAAGTTCAACAAAAAGTAATTACGAAGACATTCTCAATAAATATCTAAGATTTTAGTAAAATATCATATTTAATTCTCATTAAATCAAGATTTTAGCAAAGTCAATAATTTAAAAATATAATAATTCTTATATATATATTATAAGAATACTTTCATAAAATTTATTTGCAAGTAAAATAAAGTATATATAATGGAATTTCCGTGTAGGAAGCTCCGTCTTTCAGTTTTAAGAAATAATTATTATATTAATATAAGCTTAACGATGCAATTAAGTACTAACGATGCAATTAAGTACAATTTTACAAATCCCAAGAAGGGATCATCCGAAACTGTTAGAGGAGGCCAAAAAATTAGGCGATGAGGAAGATGAGGCGGAACTCTAAAACAATTTAAATTTTGTTTTATCTATTTCGCTGAAAGAGCCATGCCCTTAAGCCTTTATCTATAAGTAAACGTCATTCTCATCAGACACCTAACCCTAATTCCTCCTTCCCTCACTTTATTAAAGAAGAAGAAAAGATTAGGCCTTTCAATTCCTATTCCCCGCTCTCCTCAATGGGTAAGAAGAATAGAATCGCTGTTGTCGAGAAGAACAAAATCTATTCCAGAGCTGTCGCCGCAGCGTCGGGAAGCACGAGTAACCGCTTGCTGATACAGAATCTGAAAACGATGAATGCTTGTCTTGTGAAGGAGGTGGCAAAATGTCAGATCCAGATACAACAATTGCGCTTACAGCTCTCTGTAACAGCCGCCAAAAATGACATCTTCAATGGCATCCAACGTGATGTTTTCATGTTGGTCATCTGCTCTACCTTTGATGAAGCTGTCACGCATATAAGGATGAAGATGACCTCAATTACCGAAAGGGAGAGAAATCTGAGGATCAAGATCGAGTTCGCCGCTTCAAAAGTCAATGTAATGGAAGTAGAACTTTTTGCTGTCGTTACTGAGAAGGATGTGAATGTAAAAGAATTGGTGGGTTTAAAAGAAAGCATTCAATCTGTGGAGCAAGCGAGTGGGCGTGAAAGAAGGTGGAGAAAGTGGTTTTGCACTGTTTTATCCACCACTTTCATGGCTGTTGTTGCCGCTATTTTAACCATTTTTTGCACATGTTTTAAGAAATAGTTTAGGACATTTGCATTTAGTTTGTGTTATTCAAGATTAGTAATTGTATTGTTTCTATTTTTTATCAATATAGAGAATTTTTTTTTCTTTAGTTGGAGAAATTGATATTGATTTAGATTCTTTTTTTTAATCTTGAAATTATAAAGTTGTTGTCATTTTAATTTAGTTTTGAGAAAAAAAAAATTGAGTAACTCAGGTTAGGTTAGATTAATAAAAAATTAAAAAAAAATTTATTGGTACTTTCAAATTGATAATAATAGCAAAATTTTTTGCCTAATATTTTTAGTTTAAATAAATATTTATTTTATTTTTTTATGATCTATTTTTATACATTTTATACCTAAGAATTGAATATATGATAACAAATCTTGCACTTCAACCCTTTTTTTTTTCAATCGAAATTTGTTATCAGCTTTAAAGGATGATAGCTTTTTACCAAAGATTAGAAGCTTTTTTATAAATTAAATATTTTATTAATTACAAAAAAAGTTAATTAATATTAATTTGATTCCTAAAAACCATATTTCACACACACACACACGCACTCGCACACGAACATATGCCTATAAACAAATGTATGTACGATTTCTCCTTTCAGCTTGTATGCTGCTAGTATTTTTCTTTCCAAGCAATACAGAAACATTAAATGATTTTGGATTTCCTTTATTCATTTTTTTACTCTAAACCCTTAGATGCACCCTTAAATTAGATGGATGATTTTATTATTATTGTTATTATTAAATCATTCATCTTAGTGTCTAGACCATTGTATGTCTCTGTTTGTTACTAGTTAATAAGCTCTCCTGGGTTGGGTTTATTCGTTGTGCCCATATCTTTGCTCCATCTTCAGAATGGTTAATAGTTACTTTAGAATGCTTCAGGGATTCATTTTGAAGTCCTAGTGAGACCTTTTATTTTAGGATTTCTTTGTTAGTACAAAAGTCTTCAAATGCTATAGATGTCATAGCCTTGGCTCTTCTGAAAAAAATATTACATCCGGAGTATACAACAATGAGGAGCGAGAGCTCAGACTTTCGTTGTATCACATTCGTTGTCCAAAACAGCTCGCGTTCGGACTCCGGACGTAATATTTTTTCCTTCCATTGGGAGTTTTATTGTGTCGCCAAAGGATCTAATAAGTAGTTTGCTCAGGTTCTGCACTACTAGGTGTTTAAGGCTACTCGGTTAGTGAGAATGGGCTCCAATTTAGCGGCTACTCGGGTAGTGAGAATGGGCTCCAATTTAAGTAATTTGGCTATTGAGTCTTATTAACAAAAATAAAAGAAGTTTAATTTTATACAAAGTAAAAATAAAGTGATGGCATAAAAGTCTCCTATTTTATTTAAGCATGTCAATTCAAAAATATATTACGCCCAAATATAAAAAATTGTCATATAATGCATGCCTGTAGCATGAGTAGTAAAGATATCAACTGGATCATCTCGATAAGTGACCTCTTTGGATTTCTCTATCAATTCTCCTCAAAAATTAAATTAGAGAATAAATTCTATCATATGGTTATGCTAATAGGTGGTAGATAATTGATGCTACTTTTCTCGTTAATTTTGGGATATCACTCAATAGAGCTGTAGAAATTGGCTAAAAAAAAGGGATCTTAGAAAGCCCAATATTGTCTTCTAAAGGAAACAATTAATCAAATATCTGAGTGTAAGTGGAAATTAGTCAAATTGTAACTCTTTGTCATACAAAAAGAGTAGGGTTAATCTAGTTGATTGTTGCAACAATATCATGAAACATATTACTTTTTAAGATGTCTTAAAGGATACAACCAAGATTTATTGGTGCTTGAGTAATTTTTTGGGATTAAACCAATCAACCCCCGTTATTTCTATAGCTGCAACAGTCTCTTTTACCATCAAAATAAAAAAT